TTGTAATCTATGCAGATTGAGGTAGCTGAAGGTTTGAAATGGAAAGTTGCCAATTTAAGAGACGTTTTATAAGTTTATGGGGTGACTACTTTAACATTTCCCTTTGTAATTTAAACGGGAAGTATAAACTACAAACGCTTGGTTAAAATGATTTCACTGTTAATCGTGAGAATGCAAGCTTTAAGGTTACATCTTTTTAGAATTTAATTTTTGAGCTGTTTTAAATGATCAGTTTAATAACTGTATATGTTTATAAGAGGAATTGCTGAAATTTCGTTAACAGAGTTTATTTAAAGCCAACTACAGCATAATTTGAGTTGCACTACAACTTTGAAGTAGTTTAAATATTTTGGAACATTTATTTGGATATTTGGAAAGAGGGAATTGTTTCTAGTTGAGAACAACGATGCTCTTCAGTTACTGGTTCGTGCCTCTTCATGTGCTTATTGTCAGGATAAGGATGGAAAACGAGAAACACCGAGAATGAACGAAATCTGATCGGTGTTGAATGTAATCTTATTCGATTATTAAATATAAGATAATAAGTATTAATAATAAATAATAATAAATAAATCAAATTCAGATAAAATTATATTGTTTAAAAATTACCGTATACAGAAATATTTATATAATAGTATTCACTGTTCTATATAATACCAAGGCACGTTCAAATAAACACGTATTTATTTTAGTTTCAAAACTATTTAAGTCTTGAAATAAGTGAAAGATAACGAAACGCTTATCAATGTAATGTACATATATTCGTAAAAATAAAAATTTGAAAAATAATGAGTTAAACTTAGTTTCATTTAAAAAATGGCGTTTATTTTCTATTGCAATCTAATTTTCTATTTCTATTGTAATAATATTTTCTTATTACAATGTTGAAATCAATACATACAAATATTCTAAGAAGATAAGTCCAAATAACATGAAGTATGTTGCTTATGGAAGCTAAGTTAATTATACTAAAAGGTTATTAAGTTAAAAGATATTCTGATTTTAATAAGTTTCTACATTTATACAGAAGGACGTAGTTCTGAATATGTACTTTAGAATCTAAAGCTTTTAGTATTGTCATTCCGTAACATTGAAATTGTACATAGAAAATTTTAAATTATAATTCAAGTATGAATTAATATATGCATAAATAATACAAGTTATCTAATAAGAATGGAACCTAAAATGTTTTCATTGCTTTCGCTAACACGAAAGGGAGAAATATTCGTTTTGCAGAAAAATGTTAATAATAAGAAGTATTCTTTTCGAAATCACATTTATCGAAACTTCAAGTTCGTTTGGTATTATTTATATTTATTACACTTTTTTTTTAATCCAGTGATATATTTTCAATTGCATCTTTAAATGACTTATCTTGCATATGCAAAATTTTTGATAAATATCAGGACATCAAAAATAAATAAAGAACAATTTTGCTCATATTTTTTTTTTATTAATAATCGAAAATTCGCCTAAACAACTTTAACCCCGACCAACAGGGCTGCATATCAGGTTGCCAGCAAAAGCGTTTGAAAGTCAAACGAAAGATAATTACGAGTAAACTTAAAAATTGTGCTGTAACGACAATGTTGCCTATATTTATGCTAAAAGCTTATTTTATATTCAAACCTCTATGTTCATCAATTTAATGTATCCAAAGATAATTTTCGATCCACTAAATGCATCAGCTCTTCAGATAAATATTCAAGCAACAGATGGAAAACAGAAGATTAACCTCCAATTACAATAGATAATTGATAACAATAGTAAACAGAAAACCTGATGCTCCAGATATCATACGAAATCATTGCCGCTTAAAGATAAAATAGAAAGTGTATGTTTATTGTTATTGCTTCGTATGAAGTTCATTAATTGTAAGAATGAACTATTTAAGCCAATACACGTTTTTGCTTGTTGGTCCGAGAATTTTTGCCATCAAATATGATATCTTATCAGTAGATTAAACGGCTCACGTTTTGGTATCTAGCGCTGCATTGTATCTCTGCGACCACAACACTGTGTGGCAGAAACAGTGTTATTTTCCGTAAGAATAAATCATGGCAAACCATTGTTTAATGGGAGCAGAAGTTTAGTGCAAACGGTTCTCGGGCTAAATTGTTTGAAGTCATATATTATTCCACTGAAAAATGTTTTGAAGTGTCTTGAATCATTTCTAGTGTACACAAGTGATACTTATCAGGTGCAAAGTGTTTCGCAAATTTTTGTTTTGGCATTTTATGTTACGTTTCGTTGTTGTTCTGAAGAATTTACCGTGCGAATTGGTGAAATTTCTATTTCAGTTCACAATTTCTTCGAATATCTATAGAATTACTGCGTGGTTAACGTATGTAAATATCTGGCAAGTAGTTTGAAGAATTCCCGGTATTTCTAGTGATTAACGTGTCCAGTCATGCCCCAATCAACGCGGAAATTCTATCTCAAGAAAGGTGAGACACCGGTTGCTATTTATAGCGGTTTGTAATTTGCAAGGAACTGACAGCCACTGATTTTTGACTGAATATTATTTCAAGAATTACTTTACATCGAATTTCAGTGGTTTATAGCTACAATAATATTTGATATGCATTTTTTTTGTAGATCATCATTTAACACAAAGGGTGTTTTTAAAGGTAGTAGCGAGGAATATGTTTGGTTAAATACTTTTTAAAAATCATTGGAATTAAATTTTTATATAAACAATGTATGTATAGAACTATACTGTGTACCAGGATTTTTATATGTATATACTTACATACTTATACGATTTGTAGAAAAGTATATGTAAAATATTTTTCGCCGATTTTTCTATTAAAGTATTATAAATATTTGGTGTATTCATTGTTAATGGATAATATCTTTGAATTATTAAGAAAACGAAGGGACACGCATTTATATAAAAATTTTCACACGCGAGACTAACTATATCGATCTCATGCGAAATAGGTTAATGATTTTTCTGTGATGCGAACGCGTAAGGGAAAGTTGCACAAAAAGGAAACAAATGAAAAATGGAATGGAATATTCGAATACAAGTATTTTCTAAAGATATTTAAAAAACCGGTTAATACAACTACTAGTATAGTCTGTTTACTTCAAACAAATATTCCATGCAGTTTTATTCGAATACCGGTTTTAAAAACCTCTCTTACATAAACCACGACATTTCCAATGTTCTCAAATATTTCTAGAAATTTCTACCTCTGTAGTGTTTCAACTGATAATAATAATCTCTTAATCCGTTGCACTCGGGAGTTTTTCGCTAGAAATATTTTAACATTTTCTGATCAGGCAGAGAGGATATTTTGTGCAACTAACTCGAAGAGAAATCATATGTACATCGAGGGACAAAGCTGTTTTATTTTAATATTTCTAAAATTTATGCATTATACGTAGTATAATATTAAATATCAAATTTTATAGTTTCACTGTGTGAAATCAGGTAGTGAATGGGAGTCACCTCTCGAGTGCAAAGAGTTAGTAAAATATAATACTATACACGAAAAAAATCTTCAAACAATCTCATTTTTACTGTTGCTATATGTATTAACCTTTTATACTGCACATGGTAATAAAAAACGCCGGAAATCAGATGCTGATTTAACCCTTAACCCTTTAACCCTAATTTTTATGGTATCTCTAGTGAAAATGAAAAATGCTATAACATTCCTTCGATCTTTTATTTTCCTTCTCAGTACAAAATTTGGATGTGCGGAAAATCGAATAATTCTAGGGTAGTTTCTTTGATTCGTTAAAATATTTGATATTATAACTGGTGCAATATTGGAGCCTACAGAGTTCAAAGGGTTAACCCTCTATAGGCTCCTGTGATTTTGTTGATGTATTTAATTTCTTACCGCAAAATAATGAATGGAATTCAATAATTAATCTAGGTAAACTTTTATACAAACAAGGGTGAATGAACGTTATTGTAACTTTAAGGTTACAAAATATATTCGTTTTAATGAAATCATTAAAACTATCGAATACATTGTTAATTTGAATTTATAGGTTCATGTTTATTCATTTCACGCTGCATTAATGTTGTTATAGCCGTGAGAAAAGATTCAGTTCATAGAGGGTTAAATACGTTCTTTTGGAACAGCTTCACAATCTTTGTGCATCAACGGCGGTATTCAGAAACCAGGCTGTTGGTAGTGAAGAGTGCGTAGGACACAGTGGCGTGCATGTGGGCGCGCGCGCGAGTACATATTCCACGATCTCTACCAAGTGGCAACTCCACACTACAGTTAGTGTATTCGATACTAGCGACCAGTTAACGTGGTCAGTGCCCTCTGAAGTATAAACTAGGCGCGTCTTGTTGATTTTACAGTTACCGAGATTTATTGTGTATCATATTTTCATAATACATCAGTGTCGGTTCCCATTTAACGGAAGACAAAGTGTCTGACGCGTCTGTGCTCTTTACAACGTCGTCGAACCAGGGGAAAGTGTATTTCAGAACGTGTAAACGGTGGTATACATGATTCATCAGAGTTTCCCTCGATTTTCGAAATGTCGATCGTCTGCTTTCGGTTACTGCGCCTCAGTTAAGTGAAATCGTTCAACGCGATCGCGCCTTGACCGATAATAGTGTATTTTATTTGTAGGTTAGACCACTGTTCAGATGATCGAACCATCGTACGCGTCACTTTCGATGTAGCAATGTTCTTTTTCAAAAGATTAGATAATATAAATAAGTGTATTTCTAACTATAAAGAACTTTTAATTCCGTGCTTTGAATTATGAGTTATTAAAAATGCCAAGTGTGATTAAAAAATAACTCTAGTTAAATTCAACATTGTTGTCTCATTACTATATGAAGTTAATAACACGAACAAAAATGTTGAATACATCTAAACGCATTTCCGTTGCGATTAAATAATTTGCAATAACCACTGAACCGTTTCTCCGTCGAATGCATTCATTCTAACCTGTACAAAAAATGGTACCGGTAGCAAAAGTCAGTGACGCATAACGTTTGCCTCCGGTATCTTATCTATATTTGAGAACCACCTAAAATGCCCAAGCAGCCTGCGGCGATACGTCTCCGGTAATCGTCAGCGTAGTTACAAGGCTTTTGGATGATCTCCAAATTAAGCTGCCGATGATTTACGGAATTGGATACTTTTCGGACGGCGGGCGAGTTCTTACGCAGTGACCTCGGGTAAATGGAACAGAAACGTAAATCCGAATAGACGTGGAATGGTTTATTTATAGAACACGGCAGAATGTTACGCCTTCGGTGAAATTACAGTGTTGCGCGGGAAAAGAGAAAAATCTAACGAGCCTTCAGTCATCGACGCTTTCGTTATCGGGAGTCAACGGTCTGTTATTGTTAGGTGAAGTTGGCAATTGCTTGGCCATACCGTTGGCAGCTCGGAACGAGAACGACAAAAAAAAATATGGCTCGCGTGCACTTATCGAGAACGGACGTCGTTATCCTTTTAATTTACACTGGTTCTCCGGTTTGCGTTCTATTAATGTTTCTCGACGAGTTTCGTAAACCTGTCGACGGTGCGGGTCACGATAAGGCTTAATGGTTTATCGGAACGGTCAATGGGACGTATTAAATATTTGATAAGTGACAACTTTTCGCCAGCTGCTTGAAACAGATCTAGTTATCTGCTGCTTGTCACGGTTCTCGATAATTGAGATTTTGAGCTAACGTTTGGTGATCGGTACTCGTTATCCAATTGTTTCGAGCTGTTTTGTATGATTTTTTTTTATCGAAATATAGCATCGAATAGGTAATACAGCAAATCAGTAGGGATTTACTTGATGTTAGAATTACTTTCTGTAGACAGATTTACGAGATTTTGAACGGTACTGAGATTGAGCCTTAACTCTTTGCACTCGAGAGTGACTGAGAGGCATCATTTGATTTGATACAGCAAAATTTTGAAGTTGAATATTTAATATTCTAAATGAAACTTTGTATTGCTATGTGAAATATTTAAATAGCTTTGTTGCTTAATTTATCTTCGGATTATCGTTAAATTAGTTTTAGACAATGTCGTTTATGTCTCGCCGGGAAATGTTGAATATTTCCAGTGAAAAACCTTCACGTGCAAAGGGTTAATATTGTGTCTATATTAATGGCGTTACGTGTGAAATAAAATCATATATTTTTCGCATCTTTAGAATTTAAGTAAATGCTATTACGTATTTTTGATTGAAATAAGAATTATATGATTATACTTGAATAAGGTTATAAAACAGTATCCTTGGGAACGAAGCACCTTTAAATTGTAATTTGTCTACTTTGAAGGATGGTGCGTCCTTAAATCTCAAAGGGCATTTTCATCGTCGTTATTTTATTTGACTTTCCTCGAACTTCTTCGATATACATAGTGTTCATTTTTATCGCAGATTCTCTTATACCGAATTTTTACATATTTGCAAATAAATTTTTTAGCAAATTCAATACGTTTTGTCAATTTTCCACTGATGCACGTAACTATTTTTTGCCTTTAATGCCATTGATTCGAATTTCTTTTAAAAGAACTCTCGTTTGCCATATATTTTAGCTCTGTTTTGTAATTTTAATAATAATTCTCATCATGATCGGTTTCATTTTGTTTTTCTTTCATTTCTATATGTTTTAACGATGTTCGTCATTATTAATCTATATTTTCCGTTTCACTGTAGTAAATAATTGGATTTTTAGTTAAAACTTTCTTATTCTGTCTCTTTCTTTTCTGCCATAACAGTACGCTACTGAAATAATTTTTTTTTAACAATTCTTCTTAATAAGACGTTAATTAAAACGTTGTACTTAACTTCCTTTGGCGGATGTACACAATACGTCAAGGGTGGATTTGGCCGAGAAAGAAAGGGACCTGAAAAGGAAAGGTAAGGGAGAATTTGGTGGTGGAAATGCTACTGAATTCATCATCAGTAGCAAGTAGTACAAAATATAATTCACTGAAAATTTCAATTCAATAAACGTTTCTTGCATTATAATTTAAATTGTATTTTTGGAGATCGTTTAATATTTTAACACTATTCAAGAGATTGATTGTTTATAAATTATTTTTAATCAAATAAACATTTGTAATATATTATAATTGAAAGTTGATGTTTATTTAGCCAAAGCTATATTAATAAATAAAGTTTTGACCCAGTAATATACTTTATTTAAAGTTTCCTAATTTTTCCATACGAACAATTAAAAAATATATCAATTATTTTCTGTAATCTTAAAGGTTAAATTGTCTAATGAAGATTTCAGTCGAATGCGATTAACAATCGATTGATACAATTTAATAACCGCGAACAATGAAGCGCAATTAAGGCAGGCGATCGACAATCTTGAATTCTGAATAAAACACGAAATGAATTGGATAATTTCCGATTTGAAAATATTTTCAGACAGATATAACGATCCACATGATGGTACTGGATAATGATACCGAGTACTTGAGTGGGTATAAGCGAAACTCCGTAACGGAATGGTTGCAAAAAACAAAACAGGCAAAGAACAATGGTAATTTTCTGTACGCTCTATATTTATGTTAAGTAATGCTTTTATCACAATGAAAGCCGTAGTTTATAAGTATACAAATAAAAAAGTGTATGCTACAATTCCTCGCGTCGTAATTTTCAAACATGTTCCCATCAATCTATATTGAAATTATGTTTTCCTTAAAAACATATGACTTCTGTAATTTCGGAAGGATTTTTTAACTACTTCTTTTCTTCAATTAGCATTTGAAAATGACTCCAAGTAAACATTTTATACATATAAAGGAAATAATAATTAATAGACCGTGGATTTTTATTTAAATTCTCATTTTTATAGATTATTCCATAGAAATAAAAATAAGGAAAACGTTGATTTGACTAATTACAAGATTCCTTATGGTAGGAATGAAGTTAAAGCGTCATGAACACTCGTTAATGTGAACTCTTTTGTATTTTACAAATTTAATGGTCTACTATAGGTATTATAATAATGATACAAAACTGAGACTTAGTTTTTCAATAAAACGTCGGCGACTATTTTGATAACGCATGCAGTTTATAAGAAAACTGGCAGAGTATCGGTTTTATCCAAACCGCAAAGGGTAAAAGTCACGTCCGAACAGATAACAAAGTATTAAATATTTTGATATTAGATTCGTTTTATGTCTGTGCTGAAAATTCTCACAAATTTGCACGACGAAAAGAAAAATGCGCCGTGCATGCGAACGATTAAATGCCATCTGCATACAGTAGAAAAATATATTCTCGTCGCAAATTGGCTTTATTTAAACAAATGTAATACCCAGACATCAAAGAATCTTTTTGTAAACGGTATGCTGCAACTGGTGGATCAACCAAAAAAGGCATGATAAAAAAATACCTTGAGTTCATTTGGGGCTTCGTTTTTAAAGAAATGAAACGTGAATAATTTCGCATTGGTATTAATTGAACAAGTTTTTTTAATTGTTTGACTAATTTATTCTTTGATTCCCACACGTGTAAAATTGTATCTTTTCTTTAAATTTAATATACATTTCTTTTCACAGTTTTGAATCTTTTGTCAAGTGTTCTTATCTGGCTTCATTCTTATCTCCTTTAAAGAAGTATGAGTCACTGTGTTTTCAGTCTTTACCCTACGCAGTGTCTTTTTTTGGACGAAGAGTATATCATCACGATCTTTGCAATTTTTTTTAGAAATAATCTTTATTCTTTTACACATTAATAAACTGTAGATTCTGTGCATTTGCTATTCGCAGATTGCCTTTAAAATTCAGTACGATGAAAAGATTAATAGTTACAATGTAAGATTTTTACTTTGACCTTGAGACTCTCGATATTTTATCATCATGTATTACATAATCATATTTGACGAAATTGAACTTGTGCCTTTCAGTACATTGTCCCGTGAAGCATATTTCTTACAATAATACAAGATAAATATTATATTATAGCTAAATCTTACAACACTGCAGTTGAAATGGCGATGTTTCTATTAGCTCTACAAGAATAAGTTCGTTTGTTCCTACAGACAGCTCATAAAAGAGCTTTCCGAGAATGGATGATAAACTCTAAAATAAAATTTACGATCGTTGAAGTGCTAACTATTTCACTTAAAATAACATCATTCGTATGTTGCCGAAATATTGCGTAAAATGTGAATTGGAAATCTACCTGCGCTACATTCGAGTTCCGTCGTTAATTCATTTGCGAAGGGTATAGTAAAATTTCGTCGAGATTCGTTTGTGGAGAACATTATGAAACGTCGTTATTTAATTTGCGTGAGTACGTTGTCATAAAGTATCGATGATTTATTCGCGGAGGCCATAATGAAATATTGTCGATCAATTTACGCGCAGACGGTACAATAAAATAAAATACCGTTGCTTTCCCTCCGCGAAAATATGTTGAAAAATTCAACGCCTAAAGGTAGAACGAAAAGTTAAATACAATTCTAAATTAGTAAATTACTAATCGTGTTTACGATCTTGTTTGTCTGAGCACCCATCCAAAGACGCTATTGTTATTTTAGTCTTGTTCGAAGGCCATTATTGGTCCTAAATCGTCATTTATTAGGCGTCGATACTATATCTTTCTGTATTGTAATTTTAACTATGTGCCCTATTAATAGATGAATTTTAAATATTAAATGAAATCATATTTGTAATATAATTTTAACTGAAATCCTAAATGTAATCACATTTGTAATATAATTTTAACTGAAATACTAAATGAAATTGTATTTGTAATATAATTTTAACTATGTGCTCTATTAATCCTTTGCATTCGAGAATATTTCTCGTTATAAATATTCATTATTTTCTGATGAAATCGACGAATGTTTTTGCAACTAACGCGATGAACAATCTTACATAAATTAAAGAGAACTATTTCATTCGAATGTTTTTGCGTTGATACATTATATAAAATGTGATATGCAATTTTAAATTTTATAATCTTTCTGTGTTGGATCAAATGGTGATTGAAACTCGTTTCTCGAGTGTAAAGGATTTAAAAACCGGCTTTATAACGCGCTACCCGATAACTACAATCGAAATAATTTTCATTATAGGAAGTGAGAGTCCAGTGTTTGGTTTGGAAGGCAGCGGAACCGCTGCTGGTGGAACTTCTTTGAGACTCGCACCACAGGAATTACCTAATGAGATATCAGCTCCCTACGAAGTTCCGCAATTTCCAATTGAACAAATCGAGAAGAAACTTTTAATACAGAGACAACTGACTGTCAAGTAAGTGAAACTGTTGTCAACTCGTAGATTAAAATAAATCAATGATTTGTATGGGGAAAGTATCAGTAGATATGGTACTTTCATATATTTTCAATGCTTGGTTTATGTTAAGATAAATTGGTATTTCAAATACCGATACTTTGTGTAGTAGTACCAAATCAATACTGATACTACAGAAAATCAATACTTGTTTGATGCTTTACGAAACTGTACAGGGTAATTGCAGGGAAGATGGCCATATGTTCTGTGAAACGTATTCAAGTGAAAAAAAAAGAAAAATTTTAATGGTTTCTTTACCAAATAATCGAGAATTAACACTATAAATTGAGAAACATCAGTTGTAATAATGATTGTATCAATTATTTATACAAGATGATTGAACCTTCCCTGAAATTACCTGATATTCTTTTAATATCTAATTGATTTATCCGTAACCATTTGATATTTTATTAAATTGTCGATACTCATTTGATGCATTCTAAATGTATGACGAAACTGTCTAAGATTGTACATAGTTAAAACTGTTGAATAGTCGCTGATCATCGTTTAGCTTCTGTAATGAAATTGGGAACGGTGAAGAGAGAAAGGAAAGTGGAAAGGAAAAAGTAGGTTTCATTTTGGCTCCGCTAGTGACTTCATCAGCGAAGGCAACGTAACAGCCCCTATCCTAGACGCGAGATATTGATCGATCTTTTTCTCAGATAGTGCTTATGTGTCCTGTGAATACTTAGAGCTTTTTCGTGTAGATTATCTTGATTTTAATTGATTAATGATCGATATTATAATTTATCATATGTGCCAGAAATGTTTGAACGTAGCAATTAATTTGAAAAATAGGAGAAAGCTTCTGAAAATGTTACAATTGGAACTGTTTTAGGTGAACAGGAATTGAATCCAAAATATCTGTTTTCGAATTGCAATCATTCCTGGCAATTCAGAGCTACTTTATTATAATTTCAGGAAATTGTGATGTTACTTAATTCAATATATTAAAAAGTAAAATTGATATGCTTTAGATGTTAGACGAATAAGGAATAATGAGGATTGTATATGTTCAAAATGGTGATACTACGAGTAGTTGCGAGAAAAGTGTTGTGTTCGTAGCCCTCTAGTGGCAAATACAGGAGATGTCACGACAATCGTATCAATTATCGTACTCTCATGGTAAGAAAATGGAAGTAAATGCAAATAGGAAGAATCTACTTATCATCTATCGGTAGCTGAATCATCGAATCTAATAAATGAATTTTGTATATTAATAACTACAGAGGAAAGTACCAAGTGTGATGTCATGAAGTGTAAAATAAAGCACATTTACTTACTGTTATTATCTTCACATCTATTGTGTTTAATTTTTTATATATACAAAAAAATGAGGTTTCAAATGAGTATCAATATTTTCATGAAACGTTTAAGATGTATGTAAAATTATATAACTCTACATACATTGTTCAAAGTAATTAGTTTTTCACTGAAATCTTAACAGAAGTATTCAATGTAACAATACACAAGGAGAAAGAATGTTTTTAATCTTATCCATGCAAGTTTAAAATACAATTCTGTAACTCTTTGTTGCTTCCGTTGCTTTTTTCTATCAAATTATTTTGCAGTCTTTCTTAAACTGTTCCGAATTTGATGGGTACCGTTCAATTTAAACAAATCTTCCAAGTAATAAATTCTTTATTATACATTAAGTATAATCATTCCCCACTTTACGCTACTAAAACAGTAACTTCTAAAATAAATGTATCTGTGTGATACAACTTGGAGGTTTCACGGATTATTATTGACAAAAGTTCAGAAAAGTCTTTGAAAAAAATTGTTGTTCCATTTTCGGATCATCAGTTATAAAACTGAACAAATCCGAGACGTTTGCATAGAAGAGCATAATTCACACTCATATACACAGGCACAACATAACCCAAAGAACTGCGTCGCACGCAGCTGTTCCAGATGACCCAGTAACCGATTTCCGCATCGAGATGCACATAGTTTGCGACAAAGTGCCATGGAGCTCTCACACAGATGCAAATTTTTCGGGGAAAAAGTGGCGTCGGTCTATTTATAGCAGCATCATTCGTTTTACGGGACTAACCACTTATCGTTAAATACTTTTATACAACTGCTGATTTCTCGAAACGTTAATTATAAATGATGAATTGGTACACTTCAGATAAAAAATTTATCATTCTCGATGGTCTGCTAAGATATGGAAGATTTCACGAAGGAAAATTTGACTTCGGTAGACATAGTCTGATACTCGTCTACAGGGTGTTTCTGAAATCGTAGTGCTACTGGGAAGAAAATGAGATTTTTATATAAAAAAATTGAAAACATAGAATAAAATTTTCTCGTAGAAATTTGTATTTTCAGGATGATCGAATTTGAAACTTTATGCAACACGTTCACATTGGTATTCACGATAAGTAGAAAAGGCAAGCTAAAAGAAAATGTTATTTATTCTTTACGTAAAGTGATCTCCTTGTGAATGTTTATAGTATCAGTTTCTGAAAATGAATTTTCCAAGGTGAGACAAATAATACAGATGGAGAATTCTTCTTTTAACTGAAATATATTTAGAAGAATGTAATTGTTGTAAGAAATTGTATTGTAATATCCCAAGTTGGTGCGTACTATACAATCATTGAATAATAATTATTAAGTTTCATTGAAATTAAATATTATTTGGAATGGAAGTTCAAGACTCCCTTCGTTTCGATTCGTTGGAATTACTTCCTCTCTTCTTAATAAGAATTTTATCTTGGAAGAGTAATTACCCAGTGAAAATACGAAGTATTACAGCCCTCACAGTGAAGTAAAATAACTTCAAACGAAAATTCTATGAACTGTAAAATTGCTCAAGATTTATAAAGTAGATGTAACAAAAAATATGTTTCAAGATTACCAAGAGAAACGATAGAATTAGAATTATTAATGTTCATTCATTTAAAATTATCTGTTCTATCTTTTTCATCAGAATAATTTTCCATTTCCTTAATGAAGATTTTGTTATATAATGAGAGGAGAAAAAGATCAAGATCTTCGAATTGTAGAGATTTCATCTTATCGAGGTTTTGAGTAAAGGGCTTTAGCAAACGAAAATTCGATTGCTGCAG